AGCGGGACTGGCCTGAGGGATTTTAAAGGGGGTTTTAATTACTTTTAAATTGGACATATTTAAATATTTCGTTTTAATCAAATTTTAATTAAGTATGTATATATGTTAGTATTTTATTCAATTGTCAGCCGCCCTGAGTCCGTAAGGAGAAGGGCGGGATATAAATGCAATTAATAAATAAAATAAATAAATAAAATATATTCTACTGTACAGCTGAAATAAGAGTGGCAAAATACACAGAACCTTTTGTCCATTTCCTGTACAAGGTGGTGCAATATATCTGAAGGGAAGCAGGGATTTCTGAAAATATTATACCAACAATACTAATAAAGAATCTGTTCTTTTTATAGAATCTTCCTGTGTTTGTTAGCTACATGGAAGTAAATCACCCTAGATGTTTGATTATTTAGAATATATACAAAAACATATAAGAACAACACTTTCTTTTGATCCTTCCCCTTTCCCATTCAACACTGTGCTTTAATTAGAAAAAAACAAAGTGTAATTCTACTTCTCTTTGTTTATAACATCCTTCAATGTTTACTATTGACACTGCTTCTAGAAGTTGCATGCTACTGAAGTAAAATCAAATAAACGTAGCTAGTAGAAATATGTGTTCATTTTATACTTCTGCGGCATTATAGATCATATCTGACATGACAGAAAATTGAGGAAAAGTTAAAAAGAACATTTACAGAACAAGAATGATTTTCTTATGCAGATATATACGGAGAGGTAGATAAGACAACTATGAGAAAGTAATCTACAAATCTCAATTTCTCTAAAATAAAGATTTACAATAGGCAAGCTGACAGCTAGACATAATGGGGAAAAAAGAAAGTGGGGTGGAGGGAATCACCCAGAATTGAATATCTTCATACAAAAGATCCTTCTCTGACTAAAGCTGCAATTTTAAAATATCTTTACTTAAGTGCTGTGAGATAAAAGTCTGTTTATTTATTTATAGACTTTCCCTCTTAACTGATATGTGTGTGTGTGTGTCTCTCTCTGTGTGTGTGTGTGTGTTTGTGTGTGTTTAAAAATTCAAACTTCAGAAGAACGCAGACTAACAACAAAACAGGTGAGAAGACAAGGATATCCTGAAAAGTTCTAATGTTCATCTGGATATTTCAACTGATTCCCCATTGAAACCAATCTTTTAATGTAATACATATGGGAATTGTTTGCCATTCTTGTATTGTGTTTTACTAATCTGACATATTTCTAAAAATTCTTAAAAATGTCTTATTATGTCTTACCAAAAAACGTAGGACAATTCTGCCCAAAATTTATGTTGCTAAGTGAGAAATTTGTTAAGTGGATTTTGCCCCATTATATGATTTTTCTTGCCACATTTGTTAAGTGAATCACTGCAGTTGTTAAATTAGTAATAGGGTTGTTAAGTGAATCTGGTTTCCCCATTGACTTTGCTCATTAGAAGATTGCAAAAGCTGATCAGTTGTCAAGCATGGGGATGCTGCAATGGTCGTAAGTGTGAAAAATCATCCAAAGTCACTTTTTAAAGTGCTGTTGTAATTTTGAACAGTCACTAAATAAATGGTTGTAAGTTGTATCTTGGGGAGGACAAAAAATTGTAGGCTTAACCAACCCATCGAAGTTAAAGAACTGAAAGAAGTTTAAAAATCTTTAGACTAGAAAATCTAATCCAAACTAATAAATCATAAGCATACAATCTTGTTACTCAAAGTATGTAGTAGAGACAATTCCATTCGACCTGTCATTAGTTTACCTGTTGGATAGTAAGTTTACTGTAACAAAATTGCAAGTTGAAGCACTAGTATAATGAACTATTATCCACATTTGTATACTATGTAAACTAATATCAGTTCCTACAGAGTATCACATATATTTTTAATAAAACTTTATCAAGCTGAATTAACACAAGCTACCATTTTAAATATCAATCTTCAAACAAAGATGCATCTGATAGTCTTATTGAGATAGAATTTATAAGTGTAGAAACACAAATCATTAAGATAGCAACATATGCATATGTTCACTTTAAGTACAAAATGGTATTTATATATTGTTATTTAAGCCTGCACTTCTTGATACTAAAAAAAAGATTGCAAATGTTTTATTTGGAAGCACACATACAAACCCACACTTACTGTATAAGCAGGAATATGCATCTTCTGTCAGGTCCAGATCATTTAAGGCAGACATGTCAAACTCGCGACGTTACATGACATTGTGCAACATATCGGGACAGTTTTGCCATTGCTGGCACTGGGGTGGGCGCGGCTTCCACGTGATGCATACGGCCTGTGGGCCGGCAGTTTGACACCCCTGATTTAAGGCAATCTTGAAACTCCTAATATGCCTCTGAGGCAGGAAGGGAGGAGTCCCAAGGGTTCATTATAGAAGGAATCTCTTGAAGCATACTTTTTGCACTTCACAATTAAAGAACAATCTGGAAGGCCAACTATTGTGTTTAAATTTCACCAAGTTGATAAATAAAATAGAAAATATCCATGATTACCAGTCTATATCTTTGTGACTATAGTACTATATTTTTATTTACAGTGGAAACAAACACTGTGATAATCATTTTACTAAAGCAACCTATTATTCTATGTTTCCAACCCTACAAATATTAATATAAATATTATTAGTAAAGTATCAAATTTTTCCCACTTAAAGGCGTATACATTATGCAATCGCCTAGGAAATACTTAGGAAGAATAGGATGCATTTCAGTAAAAAGTAATATTTCCTATATCATATGACTCTTGATATCCTTACAGATTAGTATACACAGTCAAGTACATACAGCCAAAGAGACACACTGACTGTGAATATATTTCACAATTTTAGCATTCTGTTAAAGTATATCACAGAAGGTGTTTTCCTTCTCTTTGTTATAGATTGTTGAAATGATTGCTAGGTGATAGTTGAAAAAAAAGCAAAAAATGTTCTGACTGCTGGATGCAGAGAATTTGCACTGGGGGGAACTTTATTTTCTTACACAATTTATAGATACTGGCATTCTGATCCAGATCTGATTCATAGGAAAAGCCTGCCTTCTCCTTGCATCCCTCAGTTTATAACACGTAGCTTCCTATCCCTCTTGATATTTAAAGATTCTGTAGCAGAACAAATTAAGTAAGAAGAATACATCCTTGAAAGCAACCCATCAAACTGTATTTGCAGCAATATCTTACATTCTAAAAATAGGTATTTCAATGGCAGAGACCAACTTGGGACTCAAGCTGCCTTCTGCTAAACTGGTAATTTTGCGACTGGCCATGCCCACAAGACCAAATCCAAAATATGCTGTTAAAATTTCAAATGTGCCCTCTTCCCTCCAAAATTGTTACTATTTCCAATGAGTCCCAAATGTGCTTTTTCAAGAGGAAACTGGAATTTCTTTGTTTTTCCTTGAAGACATTTTGCTGCTCATCTCTTTCTTGGATGAGAAGCAAAATTCTTCAAGAAAAAACAAAGTCCAGTTGTCTCTTGAAAAAAGCACCATTGGGACAACCATGACCTGGATGACTGAGAATTGGCAGAGACACCTCCAATGAATGGGAAAATTAAAGTATAATAAAAAGTTTACCTGCTTGGTTAGTGGTCACAGTGACAGACACAGCTTGGTCTTGGATTGGATTTTGCTTGGATACTCCATTCACTGCCCAGATTTCAAAGGTGTAATTAGTATGAGCCAAAAGGTCAGTAATGGAAACCCTAGTGGACTTCAAATCATTCTGCTGAGGGCTGAAGTGAACACCACTCCCACAGGACCGGCAGCGGGTCAGATCACTAGCTCCACATCTCTTACACACCACATTGTAAGAGACATCTTCACGACCACCTTTGTTCTGGGGGGGACTCCATTCCAAATTCACTGATGTCTCATTGACATTGGAAATCAAGTTCTCTGGAGCAGATGGAGGGCCTGCAAAAGAAAAGCATCCCTTTTTAATTACCTAAATAAAATAAAAAAAAAATAGGAAGCTTCTTTAGAGAACTATCTACACAAGATTATGTAACTTCTTTGGGTTCAAGAGCTACAATTGCACTTTGAACATTATGCTATGTGCTGATCTCCACAAAGAGTAGAGAGTTCAGGACAAAGAGATACACTTAGGATAAATACTACATTTAATTTCAGTTCATTTAAATGCTTGTAAATTGTTACTTGAATCGCTTCCATGTTTTCATAATTCCTCTTTCTCTCATATTAAAAATTATAGTTGAGGGGGATTTCAAGGAACCCAACAGAGGTGTGTGCAGCCTGGAGTTCTCATGATATACTTCTCTGACCTGCGTTGAAGCTTCATACACAATGCATTGCAAAAAGTAATTCTAGCAGTTTTCTTGCTTTTGTTTCAGTCAGAAGCTACCTTAAAATAAAAAGTGCTCCTGTACAATTACATCCATATTTCCAAATAGATTTCCATTTGTAAATATCTGGCTGAACAGAAAAATGTATAAGCAAATGGCCAACCTACCATGTGCTGTGCAGTACCAAAAACAAAAAAACACAACCCACAGATAACATCATCAGTCATTAATTTGAATGATTTGGGGTGTAAGAATGAGATGTCATACAATTTTCTACTATCTATTAAGCCTAAGAATAGATTATCACTGCCTACATGCATGTATTGTACTTCTTAGTCTGGAAAAAAAAACCCAGAACACAGCAACCAATTTCTGAATGTGCAAATTGTTGAACTAAGGCCCAAAGCAAGATCATAATACCCTTAAAATGAGGAGCAGGTTTGTGAATGAAAGGTTTTTTTTCTGTTCTTTTATCCTGACCCTTGTTTTGATCATCTTCCTAATCTTGATATTTACTAGTCACTGAACATCAAAAGTAAAAATAAGCAAACCTTTATGCAACTTTCCCCCCTCACTTTTAAGTACTCATTATTCTAATCTTCCAGCCACACATGTTTATTCCCCTTTCTAACTAGCATTTCTATATTAATTCATTTGGGATTTTTTGTGGAGGGGTGCTGGGGGACATAGAATGGCACTGGAGGATTAATATATTCCAGGTAATGTCTGTATGGCTTCAAAGGGTCTGATATTACAGGTATGTGTGAGCTTGCATTTTATACAAACTACACATACTGTATGTATAACTTGGTTCTAATTTAATATACTAAAACATTAGATTGGTAAAGCTGGCCTTTGGAAATATGTAGAAGGATATCTGTACCTGAGTTACACACTTGTGAATGAGAAAAGTTGTTGTTAATGGGGAAAAGGTGAGCAGTCTGTGTGGGAGTATACATGTGCAAGTATATACATGTATGGATAGCCTAAAGAAAAATATTGTAGCAATGAGAAATATGTGCAAACATGAATGAGACAACGGTAGTACTGTTTGTGAAAAAACATTTCATTGTGCATCTGTGTGAGCATTAATGAAAGGAGATTGTTCTCCCTATAATTGGAAATTATGTAAATTGTCTTTAACATTCAATTCTTTGGCTTACTGTATCTCCTGTCAGAAATACTATATCTTGAGCTCCTTGAGAAAAGATCACATATACATCAGATTAATAAATTATTTTTGATGGGTTGCAAGGGTAAATGTCTACATAGAAATCCCTACAAAGATGCCAGATAATAAATAGTTACTTGTACTGAATGGTTCCTCCCAATTTCAGAATGAGTACATGTTAAATCAATTACAACTGTTTTAGGATTTAAAAACATAGCATCCATCCAATTCATTGTGATGCTCTTGAAGGGACTTAGTTCAATTTTATGTGTGGAAATGTGCTGCTCTGAATCAGGTTAATGAGGGCAGATATGATATTGCTGCCATTACGGAAACATGGTGGGATGAAACTCACAAATGGAACACACAGCTAGAGGGATTTAAATTATTTAAAAGAAACAGACCAAATAAAAGAGGAGGTGGAGTTGCTCTCTATATAAGAAATAACTACATCTCTACAGAAATAGAGCACAACAATGATGAAAACTGTACTTGAATGCATTTGGGTCAATATAAAATGGAGGGGGGGATGAGCCTCATCCCTAGGTACGACTTGCTGATGGACCCTCCGTCCAAAGGAGGCGTCCGCAGATGCAAACTTGTCTAGTATGTAATGCCGTACAAAGGGGGAAGGTGAAGACCATGTTGCAGCCCTGCAAACCTCCTCAATGGACGCCTGTGCGGCCCATGCCTTGGAGGTCGCAGCACTGCAAGTTGAATGTGCCATGACATGACTTGGGACTGACAGGGAGTGCGACTGGTATGCCTCCGCAATGCAAGCCCTGATCCACCTGCCTATTGTTGAGGCAGACACCCTCTGACCCATAGTGGAGTGGTTGAAGGAAACAAAGAGGGCTTTAGAGTTGCGGAAGGGCGCCGTTCGCTTGATATAATAGCATAACCCTCTGTGGACGTCCAGTGTGTGCCACTGTCGTTCCAAGCCATTAGACGGATTGGGGAAAAAATCTGGCGAAATGACCTCCTAGGATCTATGGAAAGAGGTGTTGACCTTGGGAATAAAAGTAGGGTCCAGGCGAAGGACTACCCAGTTCTGGTGGAAGGTACAGAGATCATCTCTAACCGACAATGCCGCAAGCTCAGAGATCCGCCTGGCTGATGTGATAGCGACCAGGAAGGCAACCTTGAGTGACAAAGACCGCAGAGCACAGGTTCTAATGGGCTCAAACGGTGCTTTGGTAAGGGCCCGTAGGACCCGCGGCAAGTCCCAAGAGGGATACCTGTGAACCACGGGCGATTTCGTGTTGGTGGCGCCCTTGAGGAAAGCGCGTATCCTGGGATGCTGGGCCAAAGGCACAGCATTGGCGCAGGTAAGTAAGGTTGATAGGGCCACGACCTGTCTGCGGATGGTATTGGGCGCTAAGCCCCTATCAAGGCCTTTGAGTAAGTACTGCAGAATCTGTGGAATCATCAATTCTAAGAAATCTAGTTTCCACCTCTCGCACCAAAGGCAAAAATTCCTCCATGTGGAGTCATAGATGCGATTTGTCGCCGGCCGTCGGGAGGCCTGAATCAGGGAGATCACACCCACCAGATATGATTCCTGGTTCAGAATCTGGCATTCAAGTGCCAGGTGGCTAACTGCAGCCACTGGGGTTCTGGGTGTTGTAGCATCCCCTGGCTGAGAGACACAGACTTTTCATAGTTATAAACTTAGATGCTGGAATAAGATACATGTCAGACATTTAACTTGGTTTTTGTTTTTAATGTTTATGGTTTTAATATTTGAATGATTTTATATTGTTTTAATGCTGAAACTTTTAAAATTGTTTATTGGGAGCCACCCAGAGTTGGTATAAGATGGACAGCTATATAAATGTCATACATACATACATACATACATACATACATACATACATACATACATACATACATATGTTCATAAATGTATTATTGCGGATGATCTATTCATTTTAATAGAATATATATGGGAGTGCCCTTGTGGCATTAAAATAAGCCACAGTCATCCTTAAAATCCACTTTTGTAAATCTTGGAGCATTGTTCACACAGACAAACTCAAAGGGCTAAAAAAATCCTGAGAGCACAGATTTCTTTCTCTCCTTTTCTCTCAGAGGGAAAAAAAAACAAGGAAATGCGGCACGTTGTCAATGAGTGCAATATCTTTTTGAAGGAAATAGGTTTACCTGAAAAAGAAATACTTCCCGCTTCACATATTGTCAAGCCACCACCTTTATTGAGAGAATCTGCAATAAAGATCCCAGTAGGCTTTTACAATTGACAAACCAAACAAGCCTGTCCTTTTGTTGACATAAATCTTTTCTGACACACATTACCCTTTAAGAAACAAAACAATAACACTCTTCAAAAACATCAGTGAACAGACATTGTTTAGAAAGGCCTCTAAGCAATTACTATGACTAAGATTTTAATAGTGTCTGCCCAGACTACATTTTCATGAATAATCTGCTGAGCAAGTTTTTCTGAGCAAATTCCTTGGGTGTGATTAGATGATATCCTCAATTAAAGCTTTTTACAACTTGACCAGATGGAAAGGTTGTTCTATATAGGATGCAATCTTATTTTCAGAGCAGTGTTCTACTGATTTTAGTAATAACCAAAGTGATGGCTATTTTAATCCCTCAGAATCTCAGTTTTGAGGTAGTCTGTAGACTTTGAAAGACAAAGTAATGGTGAACTAAAATTTCACTCCTTTTTTTTTCCAGGGGCCTTCCCAATGGGGTGAGTTCATTTGTTCTGGTACACAGACAGGTCTTGATTACTGCTGATAATGAATCGCATGAAATGATGGAGAATTTGCACTATTCAAAGTAATATTTATGGGGGAAAATTCCATTCAGCTCAATAGAAATATTATATATTTAAAATATGTGCTTATTAATGAAATATAATAGCAAAAGAATATATTTACAACTTTAAATTATTTTTAATAAGTCTGCCCTTGAAGACTGCTTAGAAGCTGTAGGTAATGCAGGAAGTGGTAACAAGGTTGTTACCTAGACCAGAGGTGTCAAACTGCCGGCCAGCAGGCTTGTTGCATCATATGGAGGCCACGTCCACCCCAGTTCCAGCAATGCAAAAAAAGTCACGATACGTCATGACACATCACGTGACACTGCGAGTTTGACACCCGTGACCTGGACCATCCTTCAATTATTTTTTATGTGGTTTTAACTTCTTTTATTGTTTTCTAATGCATTATAACCTGCTATGAGATCTTCTAGATCAGGCATGTCAAATTGCCGGCCCATGGGCCGGATGCATCATACTGAAACCGCGCCTACCCCATTGCCGGCAAAAGGGAAAAAGTCACGATACGCCACGTGATGTCACGTGACATCACAAGTTTGACATGCCTGTTCTAGATAGATTTCATAAATATTTAAAATAAATAAATCAAGGGAACAAAAGACAAGCTGGAGGATAAACCCATATCCAAAAC